GAACTGGAATAATGGAAAACATAGTGAATGAGTGAAATTAAATACAAAAAACTCACAACTAAACTTGATAAAGGATTAAATCTTTGTCTTTTCGAAACAATATTCAATTGGAGACAAGTTAATGGATTAAAACATGATGATTATACAAGATATAGAAGATTTTGTTCACGTAGAATTAAGAGAATAAGACAAAAAGTCCAATTGATCAATAAATGGGAAAAGAAACAATTTAAACAATTAAAGTTGATTGCTGAACATATGAAAACTTCAGAATGTTTAATGATTCCTTTATTAAAAGTAGAAAGGTGTTGGGCATATTCTAACGAACTTCAACCCGTTGATGAAACTGAAGCAAGAAAAGGTCATCACCAAAAAAGAAGACTTCATAAAATGAAAAAATATTGTGAAGAATTTATTGGATTAATGAAAGGATGTAATAAAAGAACACAAAGAGAAATTACAGCATATACTATGTATATGAAAGGAATGGTAGCATTTGAAGATCACCAATATGAAGACGCATTAAAGTATTATTTTAAAAGTATTACTATCATTGGGTACATTGATGAAGAGATGAGTGAAGAAAGTAAAATTATCTTTAGAGATATTGTAGATGATGCTAATGCTAAAATCAGAGTATGCAAAGATGAAGGTAAAGAAATTAAAGAAGAAGAAGAACTTAAAGAAATTGAAAAGTGGAAAGTTGTTGATGGAGAAGCTCAACTTTTCTCTATTCCTGATGACCTTATGAGAGATGTTATGAAAAGTTATAGAGATAGTAAAAACAAAGGAATTGTAGAACGAATGAATATTATTCAGAAAGCAGTAAGTCATTGTAACAAAATGATTTCCAATAAAAAAATTGCTAATAGAATGATGTATAAAGAGTTATTAGATTATGCTAGAGAAGAGAAATATAAGTTAATTGTTGCAGAAATTATTGAAAACATTAATGAAATAGAAAAACATTTAGGTCAATTTTCTCTTGGAAATGAACATATTGACTCAAATGGAAAATTAGATATTGTTATGACAGAATATTCTAAATTAATTTATATGGAAAAGAAAAAACCAAATCCTAAAAATTGGCAAATATCAAGTTGGCAATGCTATAAGAATTATTATCATTGTCTTTCATTATTTAACCAAAACAAATTAAAAGAAAGTTACACTCAA